TCGAAACCAACGCACAGTAATAAAAGTAACGATAAACATGTTTAGTTTTTTACGTCGCCTTGTGAAAATTTACTGGGTTTTGCATGTTCTTTCCTACGCTGTGGCTCTTATGCGGCGATAGAACGGATGATTATCAGTGATAGTGGGGAAATTAGAAATTTGGCAATTATGATAACGAACCGCACTGCAGTTTTCGTAGAAAGACTGAGAAGATCACAAAATAGTCAAAGCATCAGGTATCCTTCGAAATGCGAAGCTGTTACAGATTGGAATCGCTAACCTCAATCCGAAATTGCAAGAGATGTTTGAATAACGTAACTAACGTTATCAAAAATAATTATATTTTAATCAAAAAATCTCTCGGCCAGTTCGGGGAATAAACCATCAGATCGAACGATGTAACCCCGTTAACATAGGCTCCGGGTAGCGCTGCCACAACCCATATTTACCCTTATGGAGGGGGAAACTGATGAAAGAAACGCTTACATTCGGTAACTGGGCGTCTCTGGAGGTGAAAGAAAGAAACGCTTACATTCGGTAACTGGACGTCTCTGGAGGTGAAGTAAAGCTAGGAGGGTCGCAAATCGTTTGAAGCGCCTGCCTTCTCAGAAACATTAACGGTAACTTTTTTAAAAAATCAACATCCCACACCTCTACTGTGGGTGCAGCGTGGCTCGCTCCTCACGATGTTACCCAATATCTAAACGATCCAGTTAGGCTCCCTTAACATTAACATCATTACACACTGACTGGTCGGGAACCAGATTTAAGTTGCACAATCAATAAGTCGCTCCCATGGCTTCTTCCAGGTGGTTTCTCTTCGGTCATCACAGTCACAGCTGCCTCTGGTGCGATCCTGTGATGCGTCGCTCCTGAGTTACTGCGTACGTCCCGTCCATCGTACAGGAATCTCTCTGAACCCTTGCAATCCTCAACTTAAAATCCTGTAACCCTCCAATGAATAACTTTTATTCTTCCCCAATTATCCAGTTACCTACATATTGCATTCTTGTGGCTGCTTGCAGAAGTCATTAAGCACAATCTTCAGCTTTGAAAATAAGAACAGGAAGTTCTTCCAAAACGATGGTTATCTACGTAAGAATCCCCACAGCTCCACATCCCAGACGAACATCGTCATCTTCACCGCTGAGAGATCCTAAGTTTTCCACCTGTCTTCAATTCAGTTCAATTCTTGTAAAAACTTGTTCGCTGTACACCACGCCTTAAATTTATTTTATTGCATGATCCAGTGATTTATATTATTAAGACTATAGGCCTGCACTGTAAAATAAAATTTGTGTTCTCATTGACAATTGTTTGCTTCGAATGTGTACTAATATTGTAACAGAAATGAGTAGTTGGCATTCAGGTTATTGAAACTAGATTTATTCCGTTCAATAAAAGTGTTTCACAGTTCATTAATACATTATTTGGACCATCATAAGTTACAGTTTGAATGTCTTTGCTTGTTGTATTCTCAGATTAGGTGTATGGCCGCAATGACCTCAAAATCATCTTTACATAATTTCCTCGTTAATTCTTTGCAAAGCAGATGAATGCTACCTTTCACCCACTTTATCTGTATGGGCTTTCAATTTCTTCCTATATGTAATAATCTCTACAACTATATTTTTAAATTTCAGTATCTTTCATTTTATGACCAACTACATATGTTCACGATGAGGAAGTCAGAACAGCATCTAGTAACCATGAAGGAAAAGCATAAAATATTTTCAGAACTTAGCATCAAATGACTGCTCTCAGCTTCATATTCTTGGTCTATTTGCACACATGTAACGTGCTCCCTTCAACTGATTAGTTAATTAATAACAGTCATTTAAGCTGCTATAATTTCATAAATATGATAATGAACGACAAATTTAAGGGAATGTTTAAAAAAAGACACAGAAACCTTCCAAAGATAGATAATGAACTGGCCAGGCATGAACTGGATACTTCTGATAAAAGACATACTTTAAGTCAAATCTTCTCAGTCCTCTGAACTTGTTCTGAGTGTGGCGGCTCGTGTGTCTGAGCAGTGGTAGTGCTGAGCAAGGGGGAAAATTCAGAATAGTTTTTCAACACATAACAATATAAACATTAACAATAACCACGAAACAGACTGCGATACAGAAACCACCCTAACACACGTGGCTCCGGGCAAGCGTGTTTACTATAAGAAGGCTGTGGTGACTACAGCCCACATACGCGCTGTACCAGTGAACTGCCCCTCACT